TCCCTCTCCCTCTCCCTCTCCCTCTCCCGCGGCTGGAAGCACGGGCTGGGATTCCTCAGCTTTGGCTCAGTCATTGCTCACAGGGAAAGCTGCCTTTCGACTTGTCTTATGTGACACTTTGAAACCAAACTGAGCTTGGGGATTGATGCCTTTTTCTAGTGCTCCTTTGAGTATGGTTTTGCTATTTAAAAAGAAAATGTATGCAGCCAGTGGTCAAGAGCTTAATTAGTTCACATGTTTTTAAGTTTGATGGGAAAAGGCAGAGGGAAATGGGAAAATAGTAATAATCAGCAAGAAGCTTTTCTCTTTCATCTGGAATTTCATCTGAACTTGATACTGTTAATGAGCTGCCTCTATTTCTGATCAGCATCCCCAGCACAGGTTTCTGGTGGAGACTTTTTTCTCTCCCAAGTTTCCAGGTGAGGCTGGAGCAGAGGAGGAAGGATACACAAGCCCACTGCTTTATCAGCACGTACTTTCTTCTCTTCTTTCCATCTGGTTTATGGATCCTCCTGGGGAGGAAGATGAGAGCCATCCTCCCCCAGCTTTGTCATGGCAACCAGCGAAGGCAGGACCGGCTCGGTGGGATGCACCGCTGGGGCTTGGAAGGTGTCTGAGTTTTCTCCTGCTTCTGCATCTGCCTCAGTCTGTTCCTCTGGAATGGGCTGGGGGGAGCAATGTGGAGAAACTCACCTTCTTTTGTGGTTTTCTCTTCCCCCTCCAGTTACATTTCCGTGGCAGACCCAGATTTTAGTTGCATTAATTTTTCATACAAGCTGTTGAAGTTGGCTTGGTTGGTTTTTCTCTGGAGGATGGGGTTTAAGGTGTGGGCTGGGATATTTCTCCCAGTCCAGTCGTGCCTTTCAGAGTGGTGTGAATGCGATGGAGTCCTGGAGGAAGCTCTGTTTCAGGTGCTGACTTTCTACTGTTTTTTTTCTCTTCTGGATAAGTCAGTGGAGGTTTTTGATCTGGTGGCGGGTGGAGGCAGATCAGAGTCAGGGCTGTGGAGTGCTGGGCTCTGCACGTCAGTGGTGGCTGCTGCCTCTCACAGCCCTGGTGCCCCACTGGGGTGGCATTGCTGGCTTTTCTCCAAATGCATCTGGGGAAATGCAGGAACCAAGCAGCAAACTGATGAAGAAAAACCAGGTTACAGGTCCTTCCATTTTCCTCGTGTCAGACTGCCACTTCTCTAACATTCACCTGTGTGGAAATGCGTCAGCTCCCAGTTTACATTTTCCAGTCCTCTTACGTTGTCCATCACTTTTCCCTCCCAGGGGTCTGGGTTGTTGGTCTGTGAGCTGCAGAAGCAGTGTGACATCCCGTGGTGCCTTCACACAACTGGGGCTGCCTCCAGCTCTCACTCCTCTGAAGCAGCACGTCCCCAGTTACTCACCCGGTGAGGCTGAGCTGCCACCCACGCCGGTTCCCTTATCTCAGTGCTGCTCGGATCAGTTCCTGCCCCGCAGCTGGCACGGGCAGGGGTGCTTTGAAGCTGCAGTTCCACCCTGGAGCTGTGTGTTAGGAGGCCAGGATGGAAAAACCAGTTGCTCTTGAATTTGCTTGTCCCTGTGGCACCACGGGTGGGAAATGTGGTTGCCCATGAGTCACTAGGACCATTCTCTTAATTCACCCGTGGTCTCAAACCGGGGTGGATTTCAGGTTTATTTTTTCCTTACAGTTTTCCTTAGGAAGTTTATATGCTGAAGTATGTGTAAAGTTAACTGGTTTTTCCCCCTTGCCCCTGCAGGACAAGCTTGCTACAGTAATTAGACATCTTTAATATCAAAACTAAGCACACATCTTAAAACCCATTAGGAACAGTCCATGCTGAGAGCTGGCCAGGATGCACAGGTCGGATCTGTAAGGATACCAGCTTGGGCTTCCTCGCTCATGTGGGACCCTCGAGTGTGTCCCAGATCACAGCCCCAAATGCCTTTCCCATCTGAGTGTGCACTGAAGCTCGTTAGAGGGGCCTGGGGCTCTGTACACCATGGTGAGAGCTGTAAGGGGTGAGCAGTGAGGGTGCTGAGCAGGACCAGCTGTGTGTCTCCACTGGCAAAGCACCAAGAGAAGCTGGAGATCTCCAGGATGAGGAAAATGAAAGCAGTAGGGTGCCCAGCTCTTAGTTAATATCATATTATTGCCTTGTAAGAGGCTCAGAGATTGGATTGTGAGCGTCTGTAGCTCATGTTACGTTATCTCTGCTCACAGATCTGCTGTTAGGGTTTGTCAAACTCCTTCATAACATTTTTGTGGCTCTGTGAGATCCTGCTCCTTGGAGCATCCCCCATGCATGAGGGGATTCAGCCAGTCCATCTCCCAGGCAAGTGGCAGCGTGTTTCACACATGTTTTTCCTGGGGAAGTCTTCTCAGGCAAAGCTGCCAGAGGCTGGCAGTGAGTTCTGAGCAGGGGGCTGTGCTGACAGCATCCCTCCACGCCAGCTCTCCAGCACGGGCTGTACTGGAGGCAGCTCCATGGGGCTGGGATTAAAGGGGAGGGGAGGGGAGGCAGAGCCAGCCGGGCTGCTGGCAGCGGTTCTGTCTGCTGCAGGGCTCTTCATCTCCCCATGGAAAAATGGAGCTGAGCCTCAAAACCAGAGCTGACTTTTAACTCTGGTGGGAAAACGTAGTCTGAGTGACTTCTGAAGCAATATCTCCATGGGGCATCTGGTGGGGGTGGCACAGCCCCATGGCTTAACTCTGCCTCTCCAACTCTCTTACCAGTGGTGACATAAACGAAGACACGC